ACTTTCAACTATAACGTGTTAACTATTAGGTTCGATACATTTACCAAGTACTTACTGTGAGCACAAGCAACTGGTTCCTCACCATGGTTGTTTACCATGGAATTATCAAGATGAGTAATCCGATTTCGCCTCGTGCGGTCAAAAGTGGATGTACAAAACGTAGCCTGTACACTCCCACAACAAAGACACAATTCATCGACCACGGGTAGTAAGCGTATATAAGCTTCAAGTAATTCCAAAAAACGAATTTGAGCCCCCTCCAAGTGAGCGGATGCCACACGTCTGCATTTATCCCCAGAGGGCTTGAGTTCGGGGACGGGGATAGTGACGTGAAAGAATACATTTCGCGAGAAAGGAAATTTCCACAAGTAAGCAAATATCTCGCACATCTGGCCAAATGTGTGGAGAAGCAACCAGTCGTTTTAAGCGGGAATTCCTCGATTGAGTAACTGAAGACAGTTAGTTTCCTTCAACAATTTGAAAGCTGAACTTCGCTGGTCCCAACCAATAAGAGATCTTAGCCTATCGGAGCTCGCACACATTGTGTATACCAATTCATGTGTAACCGTCGAACCAGTTACATAGGCAGAACTGATAGCGCTCTGACTTCCCGGATGAAGAAACATGTGCCGAAATAAGTTTGGAATGAAATTGCTCAGAACCCCTACCCCCGCCCAAGCCGTACCCCGGTAGGCCACCGGCCTCCTCGATAAGCAAACATTTGCTGGTAACAGGCTAACAGATAGAGCACAGCATGACCTTCAAAGTGTTGTTGTGTCAGGCTAGTCCTCATCGATGTAAGCCGGATGGAGCCAGTATTATTATTTCCATACAATTATTCGTTAGTTTACGGGTGCCCTTGACGTAGAGGCAGAAAGTTCGTCAATCCCTGTGCATAGTCAATTTGTATGGTCACATAAACTTTGGCTAAAAATCTGCAACAACTGTTACTCGTAATGCTATTGCGGTGTCAGTAAGAAATGTACGCATCTACCAGCATTCTTATTCTCACTCCGGTTTACAAATAAAGTGTATTCTCTACGGACAATATATGTGGGATTTCTGCGCGAATGAGCTCTGTTTTACTTTTTCCTTAGTTATCCTTCGCCAATAAACCGTTTGTTTTGTGATTGCTCAAGATTTTCGACAAGTGCAATTAGAACTTACTCAGCCATGTGCAAAAAGGAAAATGTTTCCTGACGGCCCACATTGTATATATAAAGATCAGCAAAATATGTAATTCCTACGGATATATGGCATAAAACGATTAGACAGGAGATTCAAGTTAAAATTTGCCATGCGCTCTGGCAATACATGACCGCCGCTCTACAAACTCCGCCGACCTATTTACTTTGCGGCTGGAGGTTTCCACGTCCAGAATTTATGTGTCTTGTAGAATCTGTGTGGAAGTGTTCAAGGAACCGATTTGAGCCCTTTTGTTGGCAAACAGTTAACCAGTGTAGCTTTTACATCGACATAGCATGTTGACAATAAGCTTTCGTAATGGACAGGTATCGATTAACCCAGAAATAAATCGCAACCGTTCCAAACTAGGTAACTAACAAAGCGGGGTGGTCCAGATTTACGGACGCATTCAGATCATGTGGGATTTGCTCATCACAGCAACGCGACTTCAAAGCAGTTCTAATCGCATTCGGTCAACGCTGACTACACCGAAACCTATAGCCACTTCAGGGTACTGTAGAACGGATGGAGCTTGAAAACTCACGAGCATTCTCCCAGTGATTTATGTACTAGCGCGTCGCTAACTATACTGATGCAGACTTGGACACAAGGACTATATTAGGCAGTGTAAGGAAAGTTCGTAGAGTAAACTATTAAAAACTGTACGACGCAATGGAATTAGTTTAAAGCGCAGTTACGTTGCTCCGAGAGCCGCTGAGTACCGTGCTTGCCAGGCTATAAAGATGGATACAAATGAACCAGTTGTGAGCATTGGGAGACTCTAAATGTGCTCTCATCACATTATTTATCGACTAGTGACCCTTGAATGAGTCGCCGACTTGGCTGGGCTCAGTTAGAATTGGATTTGGACAGGCGGTGTGTATATACCACCAGCTAGCAGCAGTAATGCTGTCCACGTCAGCTTGGTCATGGGGAAAACCTCGTTCGGTGGTGCTTTACGCTTTCAAACATTGCAAATAAAGGAGTTGCTAAAAATGTAAATATAAACTTGATGAAGTATACGAAAGCGGCTGTTTACCACCTTTCAAATGTTGAGATCTGTTGTGGGAAATTCAAGTGATTTCACACAATGCTCACCCACGTCGCAGACACCAATACTCACACGGGACATCGCCTGCATACGGCTGATCCAAATCGACGCTCTTGCGTTTTTGTGGGCCATTCCTTACCAATTTATTGCACATCGTTGTGCTTACATTCATTCGACTCGGATGTATCAACTCTACAAGGTGCCTACCTAGCTTCCGGATTATACTTATTGTTTCAACATCTGACTCACGTTGCGTTTGTGACGGATTTTGTTGCTGAAACTCATCACTGCAATAAGCCATTTTCAATCACTGTGAATTTCATTTACACTCGTTCGGAAGATATTTCTTGAGGCGACCAAGTCAAACTAAAATCGTTCTTCCCGAACACTATTTGCTGCAACTTAAAACAGACACTCGCTAGACAAAACCACGCTGCGTTAACTCTCGTGTGCTCTAACGTTCCCGAGTCTAAATCTGGTAAAATAAAGGTGAATTGCTAGACAATCGCAATCAGTAGAGTTCCATATGCGACGCGATTGGTATTCCGAAGACCGAACGCTCTGTCCCCATTACCACGTGAGCCTCATCGACTTTACCACACCTTATAAGCAAACCTCTTTCTATCCGGACCCTCTCCTCTCCTTATGGCGCTCTCTGCTTTCATTTCTTCTTTAATCTGACTGCCACCTCTCAGTGCCCTGCAATAACCTAGTCTCATCTGACCGGTCTGCTTCTTTGACCTTTTCCAGACCAGCAAGATTTATCGGTCTAGACTCTGTAGACTCAAAGCTTTGTCTCGCTTACGTTGACAGCCTGCTGGACTTGTTCACCCTTTACTAATCTGAGCACTTCCATCTCTAACCTGTACAGTTAATCCTTCTCCAATCGGACAGCCAACGCTCAGTGCTCTGCCCGGATGTATGTTCATCTGATCAGTCAAATTCTTTGGGACAACTACCAGGCTACCGTATGTGTCGACTTATCCAGTCTCATCTGATCGGTCTCCTGTTCTCCGAGTTCTCTCAAACTACTGGGATATTACCGGCGATTGTTCAGCACTGATAGATTCATACCCCTTCGCACGAGAGCATCGTTGGCTTTTCCACAATTTAGCAGTAAATCATTTTCAACCTGACTGTCATCTCCTTGCTGCGCTCTTTGTCTTCCATTTTGCAATCGGGCAGCCAAATCTCAGTGCTCTTCCTTAACCCTAACCTCATCTGACTAGTCTGCTTCGCTGTGACCACTTCCAGTCCATCGGGAGGTTAACGTTCTAGACTCTGCAGACTCAAAGCTGTTTTTATTACCTCAAGAATCTGCTGAACTTGCTCATCCTAATGTAAAAACAGCCTCTTCCTTCTCTTTCCTACCCTTTATTGCTGATACTCCCTATTTTCTTTCCATTTTATCTGTACGACGCAATCGCAATGCACCGACTAAGCAAATGTGGTTTGGTCGGTCTCCCTCACTTTGACAGCCTTGCCGGACCTAACCACCCCTGTATAATATAGCCTCTTTGATATTTAACCCGTCTATTTCCGCTGACCCCTTCTCACAGTTGTTCTCACCACAATTGTAAGACCAAATCTCAGTGCGCCGACTAAACTATTCTTATCTGAACGGTCTTCTGCCCTCCTACTACTCCCAGATGGCCGTGCCATTTCCGACCAGGGTCTGACAGCGACTTCGCTCTCTTCCACTTACGTCTAGACTATTGTTGCTTTTATTTTCCTCTTATCCATGGCCTTCTCTGTTATTGCGCTCCATTTTTCTTCCCACGGCTTACACTCATTGCGCCGAACCAAGTTATCCTCGTGCGTATGGTCTCCTCCGCTCCGACCTCGCTCCTGATTACTGGCGGCACTCGGATCATTGCTAAGTGTTTCTTGACTATTACTTCCATTAGTATGCTCACCTTACCTCTCTTCATATGCCTCTGCTCTTTACCTTATGTTCGCATTTGCCTATTAGTGTTACCGTACGTGGGATACCGACTCCCAATGCACGGCAGTTTCGGCCCTCTGTGACCCTTTTCTCTACATTCTGACGGCTTTTGGACTATGGAATTATGAGCGCTTTAGCGTAATTACTCTCACGAATTACTCTTCGCACTGCCGTCCGCATTCATCCACTCCTCGCCGATTCTTTGAATTTCCTTTTCCTCTTGGAACGTTGCTTTACGTACTGTTGCTCCCCCATTCGGTCTCAATCTAGTTGGCCTTAGTTTCACCTAAGATGCCTCTCGCATTCGGACTGCTGTCATCATCATTGGTTTATCTGTTTCTCTCCAACAATCGTATTATTCGCTCAATTTTGTAAACGCGCTTTGTTATATCGGTCTCTTGACCCTGCGCGTGCAGAACCTTCTTCCTACTTAGTAGTTGCAGTCTGAGCCACACCAGCGACGTGATGTAAAGAAGGCGCTTGCAAATCATGTATACTAAACAAAATTACATAGGTTTTAATGTATCATAGGCACCGTTGCGCGCCACCAGTCTTTCGATAGTGCTTCTTGATTCATTGCTGTCTGTCTGTTTGGCTGCCTCTTGTCCGTTGCCCGTTTTTTCCCGAGATTTCCAGTTACATCGGCCAAAACAAGAAGGGTTATCCACTGGGACTGGCCGACCCATTCTCAATAGCCAGCTGGTTTAAACACTTGATCCTTTCTCCGGGAGATGAAGAACCCACACATCGTTCCAAATGGAGCTCTTTCCGCCATTCTGGAGACGCCACTTTCACGGGGTCTAAACAAATGGGTTTAGCTCGCCTCGTACTCACAGTATCACAATTTACTCACCTGGAATAATATATTTACATGGATCCCCTGTTCCACAACGGAAGACAAACAATTCTGGCGTGATTACCTTCACTGCCTCGAACATTCCGATTCTCCATTCACCTGGAGCTTTTCCGATGTCATTTCACGGACAGCGTTGCGCTCGTATAAGTGGCTTTTCCGATGGCCTTTCATGGAGTTTTCACTTGACCATGGAGACAATTACACTTACTTACATTTGAAGGAATTCCGATTCCATTTTGCGGAGTAAGAAACTCGTAACGATCCCGCATTGGACAAAGGAATGGCATTTTCGCCTGTTATGGACGTATTCAGCCACAAGGAACAACTGCACTCACCATCCCCATGACAAGTCCAGCGTGGATAGCTGGACACGGTTTGCGAGCCGGACAAGAATATAACAGAAAAGCCAGCCTCTATTAACAATGTGTTTACTCACCTGCATCATTTATCATTCGACTCTGCGACTCTTTTGCATCATTGACCGGTTTCAACGACTACTGCCGGATCATTACGAAGCCATTCGGCCAACCAAGGAAGAATTTTGGCTGTCAACTGACTGCGAATAATAGAGTGCAAAATCGGTCTGTACGATGCATAGCCGGCTAGCACTACTGTTCAACGGAAGCTACGGCAGTGTTCCAGGACGTGGTGGGTTTTCGCCTGGCAAGCGTTCTCCCTATAAAAGCCACAAATGTCCGCTTAACAACACTGCAACGTGGCGGATGTGACTCGCCACTGAATAAAGTCACAGCTGAACATTTCACACTGACGCAGTCCTCAGCCTTCTACATACAACCTGTGCAACTGATTTTACTATGAAGAATGCTTTGATGGAGCACAGATCATTCCGATTTCGTAATGGTCATTGATTGCACCAAAACCTTGTTTGGGCTCCTGTGCTCATGGATTACTACATGGCGAAATTACGCCCAACTTGTATCTTGACGCAACAGTTATGACTGATTTTTACGCGCCCCAGCGCCATCATGTTCCTTGGTCTGACTATTACCTGACAAAATGCTCACTCGTATGGACTACATCTTTCGGTTATACCTTTCATTAAAACGAAATGTTTTAATATTCCAAAGAAGCTATGCTTGTATGCATATTTGATCGCGCCTTTACAGGTGTGTCTCGTTTTACCGAGAATATACCATTTATTTATTTATTTATTTACTACGCTGCGACGCGTATCGCGTCACCCGACCTCAGTGCACTCTGATGAACCTCGAGTTCTTCGAGTAACGCTCAACTCAGCAGATGAGACCGAGACTGTGCTGCTCTCAGCAGTTCGTCTTCACAACTCACCCAGCAAGGTGTGCATATTAACTGAGCTTCCTTGGAAACATTGTCCAAAAGTAGCAAGTGAGCAATGCGGCTTTCCTAACAGCAATAGCATAAAAACCATATTTATTCATGGTGTTCCTGAGCTTCTGCATTCTCCTGATTATGATGCGCAACCCTCGATCGATAGCAGTGGTGCTACATCCGAGAAGCACTCTCTGTCTCTCTGGACAATGTTATTGCCAAATCGTTGATAAGCGTTCCGTCATCACCAGATTACAAGGGCCGCGGTAAGAGATTAATAAATTTAGTGTTACACTGAGGTAATGACGCAAGTTCTATTGGATCCCTGGTCAAAGTTTTGGGTCAGGTTGCCAACCGAGTTCCGGCTAGTCTGCAAAGGGCTGGACCACGAGTAGTAAGTAATTTGATGAGAGTTACAACCGCCGTGAACACTTTGCCTTCACAGTCCTGCTAAGAGATCGACACAACAGCATCCACGGCACACAACAGAACAGAGCGTAGCACGAGTGAAACTTCTGTTCATGAACAATCTACGATGCCGTGCAAATAGAGCGAAATTCATAAACCAAAATACGCGAAATGCCGGCCACCTAACGTTCGGCTGCAAAACAAACACAAAGTTGTCCTCCATCAGCGCACTGCTAATCTCAAAAACGCTATCCTCTTTGTATACAAACACCCAACGCCATCTTATCAACTTGGCCAAACTTAGAGAACTCCATGCCTCAACCGCTTGACCTCGCCATGATTACAGATACCTGATTAAACCTTGAGGTAACCGATTCGGAGATCATTTTACCCAGTATGTCGAGTTACAGAATGATAGAACTGGAAGAGGTGGTGGTGTTCTTTTTTATAGTGATGCAAACCTAATATTTAAAGTTATTGATCACCCGGAAAACCGCGCTCCTAAATCGCTTTGGTGTTACCCAAGGTTGCGGAACAAGGACACATATATTGGCTGTAATTTGCCATTCACCAAACACTACGTCACTGACTTCAAACTGAACCACCTCTTCCAGCTTTCGATGAACAAATCTTACAGCCACATTTGTATCTCCGGAGACTTTAATGTGGACGACCCGGAAACACTAGCAAACTATTGTGCGCAGTTTAAAGTTTGCCTGCAAAAGATAATTGCTAGCCATCCTCTGTACAACCACCTAGCGTCTCCCACCAGATTTCGAACTGCTAACAAGCCGTCGATACTGGATCCTGTGCTAACTCACTAACGAAGAACCCATGTTCGATGGGATAGTTACAAGCATACCATTGGGTCGCAGTGACCATGTAACTCTATTCTTTGGCTACATATGCTATGCGGAATATCCTGAAAAGGAGGATGATAAAGTGTATACTTCACTCACTATAACGTGTTATCTACGCTTGTCAAGGGTACATCTTGGACTTTGTTAACCGAATGCCCCCAAGATGTTGTCTGGGAAACGTTCACAATGATGTTTAGCACAATGGTACGCATGCATCGGAGCAGAAGTCCTTCCGAGGTAAAGTCAAATATAAGTCATTTCTGAGGAGCAGGACACGTAAATGCATGTCCGAGAATTATTTGGCACAGTGAGGTCACAAGGTCTGTCCGAATGCCGAAACCTGGACTGCATACGTGACGCATCTTAAATTCTATGTGAAACTGATCTGCAAGCACAAGGAGTTAATGAAGCGATTCTGCACGAACCGCAAACTTCTGTACAGGTAAATTAATGGCTTTCATAAGGTGAAATACGGAATTCCAGCACTGGTCACGGCTGATAGATGCAGGAGGTCAGCTGTGGAAGTGACCGAGCTCCTACGGCTTCAATATTCCCAAACTTTCCAGCCGTTCATGAGCCCAAATACTCTCCACTTTCTATTACTCCACCGTCGGGATTATACAACATCACCTTCACTGCGGAAGCAAAGAATACAGGGACCAATAAACACACGGTGGAATACGCGAAAAATATGTGGCAAATGTGAAGCCGTTGTAAATAAGTTGTGTCGCTGATTTATTACAGCCTAAACGGTGCTATGCTTAACGAATAACAGCTTTGTTTTGATTCCTGGAGAGCTACACAACATGATATGCACCGGGTGAATGCGTCAACACCCCTTTACTGCACAAATGCCGTTGTTACAGACAAGTGGAGGAAACCGCAGATAGCATCATCTCCCAGGTTTATTCGTGTGTCACGAGATCAACTAAGTTTGCCTTTGTTACCTTTGGTCTTTCATTGTTTTTCATTGGTGTAAAATTCCGTTATTTTTGCTTATCCTTCAAATGGTTGCACGCAGTATGCGGTACTTCGTTTGATGTGCCCCCATATGTGTGGATAAAGCTTATGCTGATTTGGCAAACGTGCACGAAGTTTATTGCACTTCCGGTACCGCCATCGCAATCCCTGTTTGCAATGCTCCGTTATGTAACTGAACACTACTTATAGTTTGATTTTCAAACCGTACTAAATGGCGCTTACTACAAAACTCAGCCCTGTATCAATCTCCAATTCAATTGCTGTGAATTGTATTAACTGATGAAATGATTTTGCAGTATGGGAGTGGCCTGTGCCCTGCTAATTATTCACCTTTGGGTTGTTATGGCGAATACTACGGCACACATCAAGCACGGCACACGTAAGGAAAGCTGTTCGACCCCATGCTCCATGCAGGTAAGAGCCAAGCAAGTTGGTCATCTAGCTATCACGACCTATTAATAGCATTTTAAAGAAGCAATTTTGTAGATATCACTCAAGTTACTCTAATTATTTCTTATGCACTACGATAGTACATTTTCATTAACTTTGCAATAACACTGCAAATGAGGAACTGCACGAAAGCAAAAGGTGCCAAACCAGCTAAGTGTCTAGTGAGAGACGTCCGCATATATCGCTCTTAAAACCACTTCTGCAATACACTGATGATTTTTGTTGGATCAACAACTGTTACGAATACGTTGAGGTGTAATGATAGCAATACGCAATAAGAGAAAATGAGACAACATTTAAAGTTGCATTTAAGTACCCACCGTTAGTTGGTCGTAATACCTAATCGCTGCTGAGACCTTGGTCCACTCCAAAGTAGACCTCGGTCATTCCGATCGCAAGGACCGTAAGCGCAGTGTAGGTGTTTGGTTAATGATCCCACCAACACGGACTAAATTTAGTGTTTGTAGAAGAAACATGCGATGTTTTCGATAGATCAGCATTTAGCGTGCAGAAAAAGTTGTTTATGACTTATAAAAGTAGGTAGTTGCTTGCTGAAAAGAAAAGTCACCGGGGTCTCCCTAGACAATCTGCTGCATCTGGAAATAAATGTTATGGATGGTACTGCGAGTGTGTAACTTGTCCTTCGTGACCCAATGTAGGCTGCAGGGAAACAGTGAGGTCAATGCAAACACTTAACAAAACCACACTGTTATAAATATAACGAAGTACGGGAAGTAATTTAAATCTTATGACCTAAATGCTAATGCTATACTATTGCAAGAAGATGCAAGGAGGTGCATAGACCAAGCTAATTTATGAGATCACTGTACCTCAGGTGCGCAGCAGTTGAAGATTCGGGTGTGAGGTGATTAGCTGCATCTAGCAAAGAACTGACATCCAAAATAGTCTTAAACTAACAGCAGGATAATGTGGGAATCATATCGAAATGCGTGTAGATAGATGAACATCGCCGACAAACAGATCACATGCTCGTATTGATCTCTTTGCGTCATGAAAGACACATCAACTTCGGAGTTATGCACCCCAAGACGAAGTCTGCAGTATACTGATGTCCAGTTGATGCGCATAGTATAGACGAGTTCTAGATATATAGAGAAGATAGAAAGGAAGGATCACTCCTTTTGAAACGCTACAATCAGGAGGAAACCTTGAGAACTTTGTTTGTTTCATCTGAGTAACGTGAACTCGGTTTGTAAAGTATACTTTAAAAACACTGCGATCATTTGTTTGAACACTAATTTCAAACCGCTGATTGAGCAGACTCGACCTGGCTACGTCCCCGAAAGCAAGTCCATCTTTAAAAAACGGAAATCGCATGTCCTGCACTTTTCACCCTGTGCAAGTGCCACCATCTACACAAGATTTGGCACGGTAACTAGCTTGAAGGGTTTAAGATTGTAAGTGAACTGATGGGTATTATTAGTGTGGATATGTATGAAAAGTTAAGGGTACATAGTTTACAAGGTATCATAATAGGGATTTGAATTGTATAAGTAGAAAGTTAACACATCTAAA